CTTAACAACACTGAAGAGAAGTCATGCTATTCAGCCTACTGCTTTTTTGGTCTGTGTATAGTATGTTCAAGTTTTGGGGGGAAAGCATAAAGACTCCCATTGTCACGAGTGGGGTGTTCTACAATAAATGTTACCCTCAATCATATGTTGAGTTATAATATTAGAAGTTAAGATCTTGCAAGTGATAAATTGTATAAAATGAACTCTAAGGTGCCGCTGAGCCAGTGTGACTGGTCCTCCTAAAGAGAACAAAATACAGATAAGTACAGAAAGAACACAATGGGGAGACACAGGGAAAAGGCTAGCTACAACCCAAGCAGATAGGCCTTAGAAGGGCTAACTGCAGGAATGTTGATCTTGACTTCCAATCTCCAGAACTGTGACAAAACAAGTTCTTGTATAAATCAACAGACTCTGGAAAGCTAAGTCACAACACTCAGACCTTTCTTTGAGGGAGGCCCCACAGTGCCATTGGAATAACCAGAGATGGGATAATTGAGGAAAGATCTACAATCATGAGATGAGCAGACATCTCTTCCCTGTAAGCCCATAGTCAAATGGCATGCCCAATCAGGCTGTGCTTCCCCCAGTTGTAAAATCAGAGTTGATTAGAAACCCCATATCTTGGGATAACTGTTTCAGTTCACACAGGTACAGGACCTAACACAAGCTGACTACTCAATAAATACTGGCTGTGAACATTTAGAAAAAGCCCATGTATCCTCCTCACCATAGATACTTCAGAAGTCTGGGGCCTCTTCCTGTATGTGTATTAGCTTCCTTACAGGTGCTAGCCAGTGGCCCTATCTCTGGGGAAAGCTCTGGAGCTTCAAATTCTGAGCACAGTTAGTGCTGAGTGTGATCTGTTCAAAGACCCTTCACTTAACCAGGGATCAGGTGACTAGGAAGTTGCTAAACAAGATCTCTGACAGATCTTACTGACCTCATCCCACAGGGGGATGGGACAGAATATCATATTACACACTGTGAGCACAAACTTCAGGATCCAGACTATCTCTGTGTCCAGCTGGCTCCTAAACTGGTTTGGGCTGTTTCCTTATCTACACAATCTGACTTTTGGTTTCACAAGTTCCAGCCTTCCACATTCTGGTGAATTTAGGGAGTCAACTAGGATCTAAGATGGACCAGGACAAGGTACAAGTGGATGCCATTTGCTCTTTATTTTTACTCATTATTTTCTTACACAGAGACAAAAATTAACAGCTAAACTCAACAATTGTAAAAAGGGAGCCAGAGAGCATGCACGAGATAGGTAAGAAGCAAGTTGGTTTGTTGCCCCCAGGCTCCATTTGAAATCCCAACATAGGATTGAATGTACAGATGTCCCAGCTTACATCTGTCAACACATGAATAAAAGCACAGTTTCAAATGGTACCAAAATTAATCCATTTCACAGCAATAATTTCTATAAGCTCAGTTGCACACATTGGGGTTGTCACTGTCACAAATTCACAATGACAGAGTAAAATAGCAGGTGAATTCAGGCCTGGGAAAGTGGCATCAGTGAGGCAAGACAGGTGGGGAGGCAAAAAGCAGCTGAAGGGGTGGTCCCAATCCTAGATATCTGTCTTAATGTTCGCTGGGGGCTGGAGAAGGGCAGGCACGTTCAGCGGTCAGATAGATAGCAGTACAGTGAAACAATTGTTGAGGCATTGAGCTGAGGCGGTGAGCTGTTTGGAGATCTTTGCCAGAGAAATTCTTGGTAGAGAGAAATTCGCCTCCTATGGCCTGGGAAAGGAGAAGCTCCAAGTTTGAAGACTTGGGAGTGAATGAAAGCAGGCAGTCTGCTAGTACAACATCTGCTTTACAGAACACTTAGAAAAACATGTACTTGTGTTGAAATTGCAGTCAAGATCACAAACTATATTGTTCACAGGATAAATATAGACACAGAATGAAAGGCTGCAATATCTAACATTCCCACAATGGAGACAGAACAAGAGATCACCCAGCACAGAAAGAGCCTTACACACCAGAACTGCTAAACTCCAAGCTGAAGGCACAATTGAAGAGATCCTTGGTACCTTGAGCTTTTCCTTTGAAAAGGTACCAATTTTAAACTGAATTCCTTTCACAAAGAAGCCCCTGAAGACTGACTGCAGGGAAGACACTTTCAAATATTTTTATGTAGCAAGAATAGCAGTTACTGTGAATTATCTCCAATTTGGGTTTCCTCTAAGTTCTGAATTAGTGGGCTCAAATTAATGGGCTTTTACTGTAGTTGGAAGCAGTCTGATTACAGCAGTCTAAAATTAGCTAATTATACTGATTAGTATTAGGAGACTTCAGTGGGGAAGATGTGACTGTTTCAGAATCAGTGATGCCTGGGAATGGAGCTTCAGCACTTGACAAGCTGAAAAGCAGCCCAGCCCAGCAGCAGCTCAAGCTTGGCTGTAAGCAAACACATAATCAGGGCACACACAATATTCTAAAAAGACACAGGCCTGGGGACTCACAGCCTCTCTCTGCCATTTTGCTCTCACTTGAATTAAAAGACAATCCAGTAGCAATGCTGGGTATTTTTTCTTGGTTTTCTAATGAGATGCCATTTGGTTGTCAAAAGATCCATCAACTCTGGCTGGGATCTGGGGAGTCACCATCCACTGGGAGAGGGGAAGCATCTGGCTCTAACTGCTTAAACAGAAAACACTGCTGTCCCTAATCCCTAATGCTTGGACTACCAAAAAGACAATGTCCAAACAATTGGGCAGATGCTTGTTTGCTGGAGCACCCTAAGGAATTCACACTAATGGCAGTGGGCTTGGCAACTAGCAGAGGAGGCCTCAGTTTCCCAAGTCCAACTGCTCAGGATCATACCTCTGTGATCAGCCAGGGCGCAACACAGCTGTGCAGGGGTGTGCACATGCCAGGCACCTGTGCGCCCACTCTTTTGTGCTTTCATTTTGAAAACCCGAAGTGATGGGCAGTCTGGGAGGGGACTGACAGGGTTGCCATTCTTATGTAAAAAGTCTTAAAAAGGTTTAGGTTGAAAACAAGTGACAATCATATTTTAAGGAACATTTTAAAGCCTTTTCATTTTTAGTGAAAAATATCTAAGTAACTAACCCCACCATTCTGAAAGTCAAAATCATACACACACACACACACACACACACACACATCTCTCTCTCTCTCTCTCTCTCTCTCTCTCTCTCTCTCTCTCTGTCTCACACACACTTTCTCTTTGTCTATCTCTCTCACACACACTCTCTCTCTGTCTCACACACACACACTCTCTCTCTGTCACACACTCTCTCTCTCTCTCTCTCTCTCTCTCTCTCTCTCTCTCTCTCTCTCTCTCACACACACACACACAAGTTCTCAGATTTCCTTCAGCTGCTGACACCTACAGAATAGGCATGTGAGTGGGAGGGTTCCCACAGAGTACAGGCCCCACAAGATGAATGAAGACAATCTTTCCTTCACAGAAGATCCCTCCTGGAACAAACAGAACCACATACCAGCTATCATTTCATAAAAAAAATGAGAAAAGACAACATGCCCACATGTACACACACACACACACACACACACACACACACCTCAAACAAACAAAAATGTGGCTACTGAAGTGTTAGCATTATATCAAATCAATGTCTATACAAAGACAGAGTTTGAAAAGATATGTACAGGGCATTTGTAAAAGCCAAGTGTGCACCTTGAGGGATTATGCCCATTATATCTACTAAACACTATGCTGTGAAAAACCACTGCAGAGGCCTCGGCACAAGTACCTGGAAGAGCTCTGTGAAGCACCTGACCCAGAGTTCACAGGCCACATGCAAAGAGCTACTTCTCATTCACCCTGCACAATCCTTAGCTCCTGGGGTCTACAGATCACTCTTGATAGGCCTCCACTTGGGAGTCAGTTTCTTGCTCTTACCAATGCTTTCCTATTTCCTAGCCTCTAGCTGCCAGGCAGATCAACAGAAAAAGCTCAACACATGCCAAAGGCAGTGGGCGTTCCTTGACATACTCTCTATGGCTCTGGTCTGTGGAGCCTATGCCTAACTCTCTGCTAGCTGGGGAAGGGGGTCACATTGGAATAAGTCTGTTGACATTTATCTCAGGTCACAATCAGACACCAGTTTAACAAAATATTTAGAGAGGTTGGGCTGACCCAGAGCTTCCATCTTACCCAGGATCTCCATTATGTCTGGATGAGATTGATCCCAATCTCTAACATGAAAAAAGCAGGGGAGTTCTGAGCCCCGAATCTCTTCATTAAGAAGGGCCAGAGTGCAACACTACAAGACCAAAGGAGAGAAAGAACAAAAAGAAACATGGAAAGAAAGAAAAGGGAAGAGGGAAGACATGAAGGAAAGAAAGCAGGAAGGAAGGGAGGGAATAAGATCAAAATGGAGGGGCAAAATGAGGAACGCCATCTGGCCAGCATTTCTGTTATCCGGAAACTCTGGGAAGAGAGGAAGGCCCACATAGGGTCAAATGGAAAAAGATTGACTCCTCAAGGTGACACTCAACATCAGAGGCATTTGAAGACCTCAGCTAAAACCAGTCCCTTACAGCTACTACCTATTTCTACAAGAATCTTGCTAAAGGCAAACTTTACTGGTTCCAAGGTGCTTCAAGCACTTCACAAACATTAGTTCCATCAGCCTCTAATGGGCCTGTGAGGTAGGGGAGTCACAGGGTTGAGTTATCCAAACTAGCAGCCTCACTGGGGTAAGAACATATACTTCACTAGAAACACATCCCCAGAAAAGTCCCCTGCACTGGAATAGCCTCTAGAAGTCATCTGGGGCCTCAAGGTAGGGCTGCATTCAAGGAATGTATCTCAGTGTCTGCCTTGGAGGGCTGCTTAGACAGAAGGAAGCTTGTCAACTCTGTGGGTTGGAAATCACTACAGTTGCCAACAGACCCACGCTATGCACTCTTTTTGGGCCCCACAAAAATGTGCTACATTTTTAAAAGCACCACAGAGGAAAAATGATTTGGCACAGAGACGAGGAGAATAGAGCTGGGGTGGGTAGAGATGGTATCAACAGTGTCTTTTACTTCATCATTCATAGTTAAAGAGCAAGTCACCTCTGCCCAAACATCTTCCAAAGCCTCGCTGAAAACAGATCAGCACCTGGTCATGGCACAGCAAACCCCAAATGGGCTTTAAACCCTAGGTCATGGGCTCCCCCACTAAGAAAATTTTATGAGACACTTCGGGAACTTTTCCTTGTATGGGCACCATCATTAGGAGAAATCACAATCTAAAGTTCAAGTTCGATGCACCTATTTACAAAAAAGGAAGTATCCGAAAACCACAAAGCCAGACAGCACAGAGCTCATGGTTTTAACTATCTTATAGATTTATCAACTCCACAAAGGAGGAATCTTGAGCTCTCTGTGTCACTCCATAACAACCAGGGAGAGGCCCTGGACTCCATGGGGGAAGGGGACATCAGTCTCCCCATCAGAATACTCCAAGGTTATGTGTGGACTTATGCCAGTGGGGCCTGGTTTTAACAAATCAGAAACAAGATGGCAGAGTTCAAGTGGGCCCCTTGATTGGTCTGGAAGAAGAAGCTCTGCCACCCAGGCCCCTTCCCTCATTCTTCTCATGACTATCCTCCTACCAGGCTGATCTACACATGATCTACACATAGATCACCCTGGTCAGGAGCATAGAGGTGGGTGGTGAAAGAAGGCTGTGCCAAGGTCTGTTCAATTGATTTTTTGGAGGGTTTCAAATGCTTCAGGTGCTATCGTTTTCATCTATGGTTCATTATTTGTTATTACTTGTGTTTTATTCCTAGATCAACCCTTATTTCTGTCCTCATTATATAAGTGAGAACAGTAAGCATGGAACTGTTGAGAAAGGGGGAACTGCAGGGCTGGCTTGAGCCCCTCATCTTTGTGGCCTAGGTTTCCAGACACACGGGGGTCCCCAGACAGTCCCACAACCCCAGGGATAAGCCTGTGGTCATTTTGGCCATAATCAACACCATGGGATGATTCCTTTGGCATAAGAGAAGCCAGTCCCTAAAGAGAGGGCAAGATAGTGGGGACTTGGCAGTGGCAGAGGTTGGGGGTGGTGGTCTGGAAGACCCAGACTCTTAGATCTGTAACTTTTCCCAGGGGGATCATGTACATGTCCTATGCCCACCACCTCTGACACACACACACACACACACACACACACACACACACACACACACACACACACACCAACTGCCTCTACCAACTGACTTCCTGCAAATCCATGGTTGGGGAATTATTTGGCAACAAGGAGGCTAAGGCTGTTTTGTGGTGGCACAGTCTTTCAGAAGTCCAAAAGGAAGCAGGCTACCTCTGGAAGAGGCTTTTATACAGGCCAGGGTCTATGTTCAGCTACTTGTCTGCACTGGGGCTGGCTGCCACAATCTCTTCATACTTTGGGGGAGGGTCACTGTAAGAGACACTGGCTTCCTCACTGCTGCCTTCCTGAGGTGCAGTCACCTCCTCATAGGAAGGGGGAGGTGTAGCACTGGATAGTCTGGAAAGAGAGAGCTCGGGGAGGTAGAGGGTGCTCTCCAGCCTGACAGTGGTTCTGCCTCCTCCCCGGCTGGGCCCCAGGACTATCTGTGGGTTATTCCCTGCCTCTCGGTGCCCAGAGGACTCTCCCTGGCTATGCACAGTGCCCCTGTATACCATGACTCGGGGAAGGTTGTGTCCAGTGCGACTGGCTAGGTACCGGTTCTGAGCATAGGAGGGGTGGTGACGAGTTGCTTTCTGTAGCTGGCATCTCCAGATGATGAACAAGGCAATGACAATCAGCAAGACCACCCCCAGAAGGGGCACCACCACATACATGGCATCTGAGCTCTGGGCAGGGTCTCGGACTGAGTAGACTGCATTTGGGTAACCCTTCCAAAACTCCATCTGCAAAAGAAGAAGGGCCACTCACTCCCAAGGAAGACAAGCAAGGCAGTGCTCACCTAACATTCATGATCTGGACATCTGAAACCTCCAGCAAGTCATATACCAAGGGCAGGGTTACAATTCCTTCTCCACCCTGAGTTATCTTACTGGCCTGAAAGAGCTCTCAGGGAGCATAGGGAACCCACCAAGTATTAAAGGCACAGCTCCCAGATCAGGAAGTTCACATAAATCATGCAACAGACCTAGAGGGACACCCCAATGTTCCTTTCGGGCTCCAACAGGCAGGATGTAGCCTGAGATATTGTTCTTCCCTTGTTTCAGACCTGTTCTTATTATTCCCAAGATTGTACCTCCTCCCAGAACCCAGCCCCAGGGCAGTACGTGCCGTTTTTTCTTTGTTCTCAAATACTTCCTTGACTTCTTCATAGCTGCAGATCTCTTCCATGCATTCTCGCTCGATGGTACCCTGACGTAGCTCCTCCAGGAACTCATTGGCACGAGGGAACCTTTTCAGGACTGCATGGGCATTCTTGGCTTCCAGAAACACTGAAGAGAGAACCACAGTAAATCAAAAGGCAGTCCCTACAAACCAGACTGGATCAGTTGTGAAGGGAAATAGGGCAAATCTAGCACACCTGAAGCCAGGCCTGCAACCAAAGGCCAGATTTGGTCTATTGCAATGAGGATAGGAGGGCTGACTTTCTATAATGCTGTACTCTCCAGCATGACCTCCGAGTCCCAACGGGGCCCAGGTCCTTTGCCATACCAAGGAAAATAAGACCCAACTGAGAAGGAACTTCAGGTGGCACAGGAAAAAGGACCAGTAAGAACTCTACATATTGGAGTCCTAGGTGAGAAAACATCCAGTAGCTTCTGCATCTGTCTTGAAAAAGGTAAGCCAGAACCCTTAGCATGAGAATTGGTTCCTTTTCCAGGCTGCCACGGTGGGACTAAAGTGAGGCATGACCTATGGCTTTGAGGATGACAGCCGTCACCAATGGTGAGACTGCTTACTCCTCACAGTAGGTGATGCCCTCTATGCCATCTTCCCCAAGATCCACAAGCTGTTGAATTAGTATACCTCAGAGTCACCCAAGGAGTGAAAAGTTGAAAACATGGATGTGTTGCTTTTGCAAGAACCTGTCCAACTCAAATGGTTCCATAAACACTCACCAGCCATGATGCTTCCTCTGCTCCAATGTCTCACTTACCTGGCAAGGAAGTAAAGAAAGTTATGGTGAAATCTTCTGGGGTCTAGAATGTGCCCTCCTACCAACCTGGCTAAAAGGTCAAAGTAGCATCCCATGAGGCAAGCACCCTCATGACATAACTCAACACCTGCTGCTTTTCTTTTGTCCTCAAAGACCTCTCCAGAACTTCCCAAACCCAGCAGAACCTTATTATCCCTCTCCATCTCTCTATCTATATATCTATATAACACACACACACACACACACACACACACACACACACACACACACATTCCAGTGAGTCTTAAACACCTAAGGGTTAACCCTTGTTTTCAAATGGAAAGCATCTCTGGGTTAACAGTCCTTATTCCTCAATCCCTTAGTGAATCTTTCAAAATGGAAAGGACCTCAGAGACAGATGAGAGAAACCAAGTCTAGAGAGAGGGGTTGGGTAGAAGCAAGGTTAAGCAAATTGACAGAGACAAGACTTAGAATTGAATTTGATGATGAAGATGAGTCCCAGATACCTCTAAAGATGAACATGTTCCTTGAATACCAAACTTAATGCAGCAATAGTCAACTCAAATGTCTGTTTAGCTGAGGCTGGCCTAAAGTAAACTGTGGATATTTGTTGGCCAGACTTATCATGTACAACACAGACATATTCTTACAATCTCTGGCCCAATCCATTGGGCCTAAACTCAGACAATCTGCTCAGCCCATCTTCCCCAGAAAGAGAGACAAGATGTTTGGACTTCTCTGGAGGCAGGCACATTTTTTCTCTTTGTATTAAAGACTACTGCAACAGAGAATCTTGGTAAACACATATTTAAAGAATCAGCATGAAGGCACAGGTGTGTAGGTAAAACTTATTAATATAGCACATGCCAGATATGTCTAACACTCTGGATTTGGTCTTCAGGACCATAACAAACAAAAAATACAATACGATATAATAAATCTGTGATGGTAACTTAGAGGAGAGGCTGCTACTAGAAGTATTGTCATAAAGTCTTTCTGTGCTGACACAATCCTACTTGTATATGTATTTTGGAGCACTGTCTAAGCCATCAACATCTGGGAGCAATCACTCCTCAGCTCTCATCCCCAAGCAGAAGCTCATGTTTTATGACTAATGGGATGCAAGGCACATGAGCTTTGTAACCCCTTATGCTACCCCTTTGGCCTAGGCTGCCAGGAAGTTTACTGTTAACACTGATGTCCAAGTACAAGTGCTCTGGAAGTCCAGCTGTTATACACATATGGTTTCTCCCCACAACTTGGTTCGGTGTTCTATTTATTCTTCTATAGTTATTCTTATTGTGTATTTAAAATATGGCTTCTAGTCTGTTTGGAAAACAAAAAGGATAAAAATAATGAATAAAATTTAAATGATGGGGACGGTAACCAATCTAACAGCATATCTAACAGTACTATCACTGTGTCAATGGGCTTTCTCTTTAGAACTTATGGAAAACTACCAGCAGATCATTACTTCACTGACATGCCTCAGTTTTCACAATGACAAAACCTGGCCTCGTTATGATCTATGGGGTCCATATGATGAGGGTACAGAGAGAATTGGATTAGGAACAGGGTGTTTTGATTAAAGAAAAATAAAGCTGCCACAGCAGAGTCGGAAAAGAATGAGCAACGCTTTTGCTAATAAGACAGCAAATGCATCCTATTGCTTACTGGAGTGAACTGCAGATTTTTGAAACAAAATTTACATGGAAAAATTACATAATAGCTTTACACACAGCCATCTTTGGTCCCAACCAAACACATGGACTTCCGTGAATTCATACACACATACATCATAGGCCCAAGTTTGTGTTAATCTGGCCTGGAAAAGTCATTAGTTCATTTATGACCATTAAAGAAGCCAGGATCTCCCCCAGACAGTTCACATGGCATCACCCACCCCATTAGCAATTCTGTAGCCACCATCACTGCTGCTGCTACTTCCATGCAGGCTTCTCCCCCTCCCTTCCCAAAATGTAGCGCCTGCTTCTTCCCCTATAAATACACCATCAATAGGCAGTTACTATGGCAACAGTGAGGAAGCATGAGGGCTCCATAACCGAGAATGCAGCTGCAGTCACGCATGTATATGTCCCTCCAGCCCCTGGTGGATACTGTACAGCTGACTGTAGGCTGAAGGAATTTTAACCCACTCCCCACAGGAACACAGCTGAATCCTGACATTCTAAAAAGGAAGGAAGGCAGGGAACTGGCCACTACAAAGACTTTCCTTAACCCCACCCAGGCTGAGGCCTCTGAATTCAGATCTCTAGGTCACATATCCCAAAGTACCTCCCACAGGGACTGGTGGCCCGCTTGGGCACCTGGTGTCCCCAGACCTGGCCTCCAAAGTCTCTTCTCCAAATCTTAGCCACTGTGATTTCCACCACTCAAAACTACTTGCCAGGAAAGGGTTCTGCGATTTCCAAATCTCGTGATTCATCCATTCACCCAGTGACATGGCAACTCCCAAATTGTGCTCAAACTTAAACTCCAGGGTCTTTTGCCCCCTTCCACTCATGCCAGCCCTGTAAGTGCCTGGCTTTGCCCACCTTCCCTGGACACCAGCACCCTAGTGAAAAACTACTGTTTCTGTCTGGCTCAGCAACACACTTCTGCCAGGGTCTAATGAAGACCCCTAAAAACCTTGGCCTGCCTGACCTCCAGATCCTCCGTCCAAACACTGCCCGGCGCCCAACTCAAGGGTCCTGAACCACAAGCCATGCTCTCAGGGCTGGGGTCATCCAACCAAATGGCCTCACCGTTCTCCGGGCCCAGGAGGCAGCCGCCCTGTTTGCACACGCAGCCAGCCACCTCTCTGCGGCGCCTCTTCAAGCAGGGCCCCTGTCCCCGCCCACCTGCTCCCAGTCGGCCAAGCCCCCGGCCCATCCCAGCGGTCTCCTCCCTTAGTCCCTCCCTGTCCCGCCGCCCCTGGCGCCCAATTGCTCGCCAAGCCCCCGCCAAAGAGTTCCTGGAGCCCCCGCCCCTCACAACCAGACGCGCAGGCCTAGCCCATTACCTCGGCACCCCCTGCCTGTCCCTGCTCTCCTCTGGGGGTTCCGTCGGACCCTCCCCCCACACCCTGCCGAGACAGCTCTGGCCTCGTGCCCCGCGCCTGGCGTGCCACCCTCGAGCGCTGAGCGCTAAAACCGCCTTGCCCCGATAGCCAGGCCGCTACCGTCGCGCTGCACCGCGCACCAGGCCTCCGGGCCAGGAGAGGAAGAGGGGGTGGGGCCGGCTGAACCGGCCGAGGGCTTAGGTGGGGAAGGCCAGCAAGCTGGGCCAGGGGCGGTGGCGCGCACCGAGCACCGCGCGCCCGCGCCCAACTCCGCCGGCGCCGCCCCTGCCTGCGCCCGTGCTGCTGGGGGGCGGGGCCTGACCGGCGGGCCTGGGGCTCCTTGGGGACCCCTGTACACCTCCTTGGCCAATTGGAGACTCAGACCGGGCTCAGTAGCTGCAGGGCTGAAAGCCAGCATTCCAGGCATTTCGGAGCGGCAAGGTCTGAGGTGCCTCCTAGGCCCAACCCAGGCTCACCTGCCATTCCAGCCAGCCTGGCCCTGGTGCCTGCCGAGAAGAGAGGGGCCATGACAGCAACCTGGGGTTGTCTTGTGAGACTTCTCGGGTCCGCAGAGTTCTGGTCCACTCCTTTTGCCAATGACTGAGTGACCTTGGTTTCCTCACTTACATCCCCCACCCTGCCTGGGAGTGGCAGACTTAACTCTTGTAAAGCTGAGAAATGGGAAGAACCCTGCTTTCCTCACAGGTCTACAGCTAGAAGGAGGGGAAAATGGGCTCCTGAAAAGGAACAGAAAGAAAAGAAGATGCAAGATCTTGTGGGCCTGCAGAGTGTTGGGCAAAGTACACCTCAATCTGTACTGTGGGAGGTTCAGCCTGGCTGGACAAAGCCCTGGTAGCAGAGATGGCATTAGTCTAGTAATTGAGGTTGGACCACAGAGTGAGGCAGGATGGTTAGGGTCTGGGTCTTGGAAAGGCTAGGAGGTGCCAGTGTGACTTACTGTGTTAAAAGAGAGAGCACTTTCCTGCACCTAGGGTCGCTGTCCTACCCCCATGCACTGCATTTAATGGGAACTAGCCAGAGTAAGGCCAAAATTATGAGACAACGGATGGGAAGAAGCCTCAGAACCCAGAACCCCCAATATTCCAGCATCCAGGACTGAGTCTTTGTTGTCCCTACTCCTACACTTCTCTCTTCCCTGACTCACCCTTTGTTCCTCACCTGCCTCTTAAGCTCAGAATCCTCTCTCTTCCTTTCTCCATGCTTCAGGAGTGTTCCTTGCCCATCATTGCAGACCGTCTGTAACACACTATGGAAGGCCAAGAGAGCCATGCCCATGGGCAGATTGCACAGGGAAAAATAAGATGCCCTGGGGATAAGAATGTCTTTGGTTGGTGCAAACAGCTGTGTGCAGATGCTCTGGTTGGATGGTGAAATAGCTGGATGGAGTCATGATCAGTGGGATAAAAGACCAAGGTGGTTTCAGAACTAACCTTAGTCCCTAGCCCATCAGCATGTTCCTGACCTCATTTCAACCACAGGTACACAACCCCAAAGAAGGGGCCAGAGTGGAGTGTGCCTATATGCACAAAAAGCATATATGGCATCTACTACCCTCCCAGCACCTGCATTTGAGCTTCTTGCTCCAGCAACACCAGCCTACTTCTAGTTCCTTCTCCACTCAGAATGCCTTTCCTCCCACCGTCGATGAGGGCACTTAGTTCATTCTGCCCACACAATACCAGTGAGATTTGCACTGGGATGTCTTACAAGTTCTTCCACCCACTTCCACACCTACCAGTGCATTCTCAACATTGTCTGCAGGGACTAGAAATATGGGGCCTCTGTGCATGGCAAGGGAGAGAAAGGACAAGCAGGACCTCAAGAGCAGGACCCTGATCCACCTCTTGGCATGACCACATAATGCTCTATGATCTTCAGCAAGTGATTTGGCATCTGTGTCTCAGTTTGCTTATCAGCCAAATAGGAACGAGGCTGGCAATGCCTATTTCAGTGGTTGCTCAGAGGGCCAGTGAGGTGATTAGTTAAAGCGGGCCTGGTGCTTACAACTGAGCTTAAGACATACTAGCTCTGGTTTGCATTCTATGCGTTGAGTGCCTCTTCTCTCTTGAACCCAAGGGCCCTGTGTCCTTCTGTATTACTGGTATACAACACAGAGGCTCATTCCCAATAGGTGTTTACTAAATCCTTGTAGATCAGAAATGGTGAGCTAGAGTCAGGATTTGCTATTAAGTCACCAGCATGAAGTTGGACCTGCTTCTTCCTTCTGCAAGCATTGACCACCCTCTCTTTTCTTGTCCCTCAATTTCACCAATTCTATCACCTCATCTCCCCAATTTTCCACATCTTTACTCTTCCTTGCATTTCATTTTATGTCTGTTTGCAGCTACGTTAATTATTTTCCTGATACCCATTCATCAAAACTGAACCTTTCTGTAAGTCTTCCTGACCTGCATTCCAAGCCTCACTTCACCCTGAAGTCAAAGCACTGATCTTCACTCCATAAGAAAAACTCACATTTTCTCTGCACATTCTTCACCCTCTACACACTAGTCACTGGTTAGGTTGTAGTCTCAAATCTCCCCCCGCCAATCCTTTGCATTATAGACCTCACCTCACTACTTCAGACTGTCACTGTATTTGGAGATGAGGTCTTTAATGAGGGAACTGAGGTAAAGTAAGATCTTTAGGGTGGACACTAGTACAATGTAACTGGGATCCTTATTACAAACGGTAGCTAAGACACAATCACACACAGAGGATGATCATGTGAGGGCACAGGAAGAAGACTGCCGTCTACAAACCAACATCTTGAGTTTCAACTTATATCTTTAAAAACTGCAAGGCGATGTATTTTCTGTTGAAGTTACTGTACCTGGGGGTTTTTCTAAGATATACAAAAGTCATTTATCCTGTAATGTTCAGTGATGCTATATGCCTGGTTCTATTCCAGGACCCAGGAACAAAGATTACAAATGAGCCAAGCACAAAAACTTTTATCTCATGAACTTTAGACAATCCCCTCCCCAGGAAGTCAAAGATGTAAGATTGTGAGAGATGACTGGCTCTATGGAGAAAAATGAAGCAGAGTAAGGGGGTGGGAGGGGCTCTACTGACAAATTTCTCTTATTGTGGAAACATGAAGGGCACAAGGAACTATCTTGTTCTGGATTGACAGATCTACAGATGTAAGCACCTTAGAAGCAGATTTTCATCTAGTGTTTTCTATGGTAGGCCAGGAATCATGCAAGACCACCCAGGCCACTACAAAGACTTTGACCATAAGTTAAAGTGATATGAAAAGAAACTGAGGGCTCTCAATCAAGGAGCACCATAATATTTTGCTGTTTTTAAGTAAACGGCAGAACTGATTTCCTTCTGAAAATGGTTGCCTTGAGTGGGAGATGGTGAACTTTTGGGGGACTGCTGTAAAAAATCCAGGAGAAAGATGATGGTGACTTGTATCAAGCAGTGGGAAGGAAAGAAAATTCTGGATGGAATTTGGTGGGAGATATATGAATATTAGATGGCAGCATGTAATTTAGTGAAGACCTACAAATGGGAGTCAAGGAGTGCCCAGAGTTTTAGTCAAAGAAATAGGAATTATGGAGGTGCTTTAACTGGACTGCAGAAGATGGGGTGGAGTCAGTTTCACTGAGGAATCTGGATTTCTGAGTCACTATCTGGGCTGGAGATGGGAATGGAAGACTATCATTTAGTCAATAATAAACTACAAGACAGACACTCAGCAAAATTCTGTATGTGGAGAAAGAAAAGCACCTTCACAATTAAGCCCTGAACAATCCTGTATTTCAAGGCAGAATAGAGGACAAGAAACAAATGCATGAAGAAGAAAAGAAGGCTGGCAAGAGATAAACCATGAGAATATGTAGGAAACTGACCAACAGTAAGTAGCATGAAGACTGGGGTGGGGAGCACATGTAATCCCTGCTCTATTTGGAGAGATTAATCCAAAAGCCTGAGTTTAAGGATATCCTGGACTTGATAGGAGTGCCAGTCCAGGCAAATATTTAACAGGGAGGGGTAATTTGAAGGGAGAAAACTTGAAATAGTCTCCTGGGAGTGAGAAGGGTGCACGTTCTCTGGAACTGTGGTGTGACTGCCAGATTGAATCAAGGGCCCACTTGAGTATTAATGGCCCTTACTTTAAAGTGAAAGTATTTATTCAGTGTGTCTGTGCTGATGCCTGCAGCCACATTCAGTTGCACAGGTGCAGACTCAGAGTTGGAGTTTTGCCAGGTGGGTACAAAGAAAAGATAGAAGACTGCCAAAAAAGCTGTGTGGATTCAGGGAAGAAATTCACAGAACTAATTATGGACTCTGGCTCCATTAGGAAGGAGGTAACCAAGATTTGGTGACCCAGATACGGCATCTCTGCATACTTGGGAGACTGAACTGATTTTTTAAGAGTTTCTAGAAGGATGCTGCTTATAGAAGTAAGCAGCTACGTAGCAAGGAGCACAATAAGTTGGATAGTAGAAACTCAGAGCCTAGAATTACCAGTGTCAACACAAAATCACCATGAGTGTACACATTTAACCAAGTCTGATGTCAGCACCTTGAAACCTTCTCTGCTTGACATTGTAAACTTGAGGAATGCAGCATCCCCAAGTGTCACCATACCCCAAAGTCACATTGCTCCCTTAAGCTCCCTTGTCCTGCCCATAACCCCGGCACTATTACACTTCAAGAGATATTCCCTGAGCTGCAACCTCTCAACCCCCCTTCAGCCTTGCCTCTGAGTCACCCCTTCTCCTCCTCCTCCTCCTCCTCCTCCTCCTCCTCCACCTCCTCTCCTCCTTTCTCTTCTTCATCCTCCTCCTCCTTTAAATAGATGAATATTACAGCATATAATATACCCTAGGGTAGCCGGGCGGTGTTGGCGCACGCCTGTAATCCCAGCACTTGGGAGGCAGAGGCAGGCGGATCTCTGTGAGTTCAAGGCCAGGCTGGACCGACAGCCTCCAAAACAGAGAAACCCTGTCTCGTAAAAACCAAATATATATATATATATATATATATATATATATCCCCTAGGGGTAGCTAAATGAAGCTAATGAATAAATTTATTGTTTGTTTATGGCAATAACACTTAAAATTCACAATTAGCATTTTCCAGTACATAATGAGAATACTATATATTATTTCTTATCTGTAAGTTACTAGTATAAATGGTGAGTGGGGAAGGACTCAGTTTTCTCTGTAGGACTGGTCACTGGGAGTATGACCATGCTCCAGTGAGTATACAGGCAAAACAAATTGGACC